ATTTTCGAGTAGAGTTCCACCCAATTGTTGGGCCAGGCTGGGTCTCGGAACTCCTGAACCTCAGGTGATCCACCTTGCCGCGGCTCCCAAAGTGGCTGGGATTACAGGGCGTGAGCCACAGCCCCGGCCAGAAGCTCACATTTTAGTCTTGGCTGCTGCCACTGGGCAGTGTATGTGGCTTTGGAAAAATGCCTTGGATCTCCGTACATAAGTTCTCGCTGCGCATAAAACAAAGAGGACTGGGTTCGTGCTTTCTAAAATCTCTTCCCGTTCTCTAGAATCTCTAGAGTTCTAGAGTTTTAGATTAATCTAGCACTTGAATTTCAGCTACAAATATGTTAAAACATATACACTTTCACGTTGCACTCATTCCACCATCTCAAACTTTCTGTTCACGTGCCAGCCATGTCTATTTAGGTTATATTACTCCATGAGACAGGGCTTTTCACCTTTGCACCTGTGGGCCTAAACGAACAGGGCTTTGCACATAGCCGCCACGTTGATAAAAGTTGTGGAATGCTGTCTTAATAACCAGAAATGCAAGCTTACATCACAAGGGAAATTACTGAGCAACAAAAGCACGCATCGGTTACAACCAGAGCTGGGCAGCTGCCAGAGGCCAGTCTTTAGTGGGAATGGCTTGGCGGGAATTCCAGTGTGTGATGGACAGTTAATTAAACTCTGGAATGGATCTATCATCAAACGGATTCCCTTTTAATGCATTTCATCCTTAAAACAAACTTAATTCTATAGACCTACAAGCAGTGTGAATTTTAAGTCTTGGCCCTGTCCTTGAACCTAGAGCTTCAAAAAAAAAAAAAAAAAGTTCACCTTTTAAATAGATACTCTGTGTTCCTCCTTAAGAGGAGAAGAAAGTGTTAGGACCCCTAACCCCCTAAATAAATGCTGGGGTAATTCTGGCGAGTCACTGTCCGCCTGCGTTGTTGGGGAGGCCAAGCTGCCGGGGTCTAGGAGGAGAGCTTGGAGCAGGGAGACTGCGCGTACCTGTTTGTCACTTCCTGAGGAGCCAAAGGTCTGGCGGATGCCACTCTGCAGAATGTTGGAGATGCCTTCCATGCTGAAGCGCTGGGGGAAGAGAGAGACTCAAGAAGGGCAAATGCTTCCTGCTCCATCATCACCACACCCAGAGACCTCTCAGCTACCAGGCTGTCCCAGATAACACCCCAGGGTTCTTGACTAGAGAGTAAGTGCAAGACATCGGCTTACAGAGACAGGCCAGAAATGAAGCCTGAGCTTTGCAAGAATAAATAGAGCCTCAAGAACTCTTATCTTAGTAAGTCCCTCAGGGCTACAAGACTCCTCTGCATCCCCCAGTTTCCCTCCTTTTATCCACCATCATGCAAATAGAAAAATAAAGCAGTTCGGTCAAACTTAGATGAACCATGATGCAAAGATCTTAGGGGAAAACAAAATGTTCAGCTATCAGAAAAGACTGTCTTAAAGCAACTGTCCTGATCGGAGAAGATTTTTCAAAATGTACATGTGGAGGACTAATTCCATAGGTCTGTGATAGAGCCTCGGGAAAGGCATTTTGAAAAAGCTCCTTAGATAATTCCACTGAGCTCCCCCAATTATGAACCTCTGGTGGCCAGGCACGGTGGCTCACACCTGTATTCCCAGCACTTTGCGAGGCTGAGGCGGGCAGATCACAAGGTCAGGAGTTCAAAACCAGCCTGAGCAACATGATGAAACCTCGTCTCTACTAAAAATATAAAAATCAGCTGGGTGTGGTGGCAGGTGCCTATAATCCCAGCTACTCAGGAGGCTGAGGCAGGAGAATCGCTTGAACTTGGGAGATGGAGGTTGCAGTGAGCCAACATCATGCCACTGCACTCCAGCTGGGCAACAGAGTGAGACTCCATCTCAAAAAAAAAAAAAGAACCACGAGTTTGGAACATCTTGTCGATAGAACAATAAGACATCTGGGGCCAGACACAGTGGCTCACACCAGTAACCCCAACACTTTGGGAGGTGAGACGGGCAAATCACCTTAAGTCAGGAGTTTGAGACCAGCCTGGCCAATATGGTGAAACCCATCTCTGCTAAAAACACAAAAATTATCCGGGTATGGTGGTGTGAACCTGTAATCCCAGCTACTCAGGAGGCTGACACAGGAGAATCACTTGAACCTAGGAGGCAGAGGTTGCAGTGAGCTGAGATTGTGTCATTGCACTCCAGCCTGGGGGAAAGAGCGAGACTCAGTCTCAAAAAAAAAAAAGAAGGCATCAGGTCATTTTCAATCACTGAAACACCCTAGCACACCCTAAAGAGACCAGTCAGGACTGGAACCTGGGACACAAGGAGGGATTTGGACCCAGAGTTCTGAGGCCCATCTCAGGACTCTAAACACGAAATGCCCTCACCCCACTTTCTCTAAGGTCTTGCCTACAGAGAACATATGCCAAATTCAATTATTTCCTAATGTTTACAGGCTGTCTTCCCGGGTTAGACTGTGAGCCCTTTGGGGGAGTGGAGGAGAGGGGTGATACCTTCCCTCTTTCTGACCTGTGCTGCTCACCACCGCTGCTCAGTAAACATTGATGAGTCCCCTGCAGGGTTGGTAGGGCACTGAAATGGGCAAGGTTCAAGGTTGGAAGCACCCAGTCTTCGACCTGGTTGTTCACATACCTTGAGAGGCATCTGGTTTCCCTTCTCTATCCGGCTGCTCTGCAGGCTCAGCCCTTTCTCTTTCCGCCTCTTTTTCATCAGTTCTCGCTGCTCCTTCTGCTTGTTCTGAACCTCAATAAGCACCGTGATAAAGGAGTTCTTCACTTCCTTCTCAAACTCCAGCTCGTCCCGGCGGGCCAGCTGCTGCACCAGCTCCTCCGAGAAGTCGCGGATGGCACCCTCCACCTGGTCCAGCAGCTCGGTCAGCTCAGATCCAGACATGTGCCTCAGCCCTGCAGGGGAAGACCGTCTCCCGCCTAACACCTGCATCCACACCAGAGCTCGCTGGGGAGCTCCTGGGGCCACCACCAATCCAGATGGGACTGCCCCTCAGAGGATACCCCTTCCAAATCCTAACCCAAGAAAGACCTTCACAATTTAGGGGCGCGCCGGGAAGGCGGAGGCCTGTGTACTGACTGCAGAAGAGAACACCCCTCTCAGGAAAGAAAGGAGGAAGAACAGCCCACGAGGAAGTCTGTGGACTCTGTCCTCAAAACTGGGCATGGACAGACAGATCCTTTGTTCCACTTGCCATCTGTCTCCGTAAGATTCCTTGTCTGAAGTGGGTCAAGAATTGGGGATGGAAAAGTGATGGGATGGAGGTTTTTGTCATCCATACTGAAGAGCAATAGAGATGTTGGTGCTTATTCCCAAGAACTGATCAAGATATAGTGTACGGCCAAAAAAAAAAAAAAAAGCCGACCATCTGAGCCCTTCTTTACATCTCTAGTCCTGTGTCACAGCACGTGTATTCAAAAATACGTGAAACCTGGACGACTGGTGACATGCATGAAAAATGAAGCCTAGCAGCAGTCGGCTGCTTTCAGAGGAAAGAAAAGGGAACCTGAGATCATGGGAAACAGATAATTTTAAGAAGTCCCCTAAGACTTCTTTCATTTAAAATAGATTTGGATATTTTATTCCAAATTTTTCGGTTTACATATTGTATATTTTCATAGTTGAGATTATACTTGTATGCGGGTCTAAATCATGCTTTAAAACTTTGTACACCTTAGGCCGGGCGCAGTGGCTCATGCCTGTAACCCCAGCACACTGGGAGGCTGAGATGGGCAGATCACCTGAGGTCAGGAGTTCAAAACCAGCCTGGCCAGCAGGTAAAACCTAGTAGAGGCAGGGTTTTACCTGCCTCTACTAAAAATACAAAATTAGCCAGGCATGGTGGTGCATGCCTATAATTCTAACTATTCGGGAGGGTGAGGCAGGAGAACAACTTGAACCTGAGAGGCAGAGGTTGCAGTGAGCAGAGATCACGCCACTGCACTCTAGCCTAGGCAACAAAAGCAAAACTCTGTCTTAAAATATAAATAAATAAATAAATAACTTTTATACACTTTAAGCATTTTCTGATTAAAAATTATTTTAAACATTAAAAAAAAATTAAGGCCAGGTGCAGTGGCTCACACCTGTAATCCCAGCACTTTGAGAGACTGAGCCAGGTGGGTCACCTGCGGCCAGGAGTTCGAGACCAGTCTGGCCAACATGGTGAAACTCTGTCTCTATTAAAAATATAAAAAATTACCGGGTATGGTGGTGTGAACCTGTAATCCCAGCTACTCAGGAGGCTGACACAGGAGAATCACTTGAACCTAGGAGGCAGAGGTTGCAGTGAGCTG